TTCATTTGCAAATTGCAATTAAAATATAAGATATAATAGTGTGTCTGCTCAAAATCTTTGGTGGAATGGAAATAAATTAGAGATTTTGTATTTAAACTCTACACTTCTCTTTATTTATTCCAATACTTAAATCATTAAGCTATAAGTTTTATTATTGTGTAAAAAGACAAAAAAGGTCATCCAACTTAACACTTAACCCTAGTACATCTATACACATACCACACATACCTCACCACTCTTCATATTAAGTTTTAGAAAAATACAAACGCCTCTACATTGTATTGCCAGAGACGTAGAACATTGATGAACATGCCTCTTTAAAATCTGCGTGGGAGCTTATGGAAAAACTTGTTGATTGTTTGGCTGTAATAATCTTATTCTCTTCCCTTTGTTGATTGCTTGACTGTTCATTGCTTTTGTTTTTTGCACTCTTGGTTGTTTTTATTTTTTATTTCAAATTTATTGGTAAAGTTGTTCTCTTTCTCTACATATAAAACAGTTTAGCTCCTTTATCAGCAGATTCCCACGGCGACTAGAATGGTTGCAGATTAAACCTTGCAAGTTGTTCTCCACCCCAGATGCAATTTCTGCAAGGTGACAGGCATCCCGTATATGAGGACTTGTTTGAGCTCTTAAAACTTGTAGCATATCCAGAAACAAAGTAACTAAAACCTGTAAATATTATGACATTGTTTTTCTTGAAACAGGATTTAGGAACCAAATGCAGGATGCATTAAAAATTCTCAATATCCGATCAAAATGGGATGTTGATAAATTCATGTGATGTTCATAAGTCATTGTTGATTCCTTTGGTTGTTGATTGCCCTTTATTTTTTTTTATTTTTATTTTTATTTTTTGCACTCTTGGTGTTTTATTCCGACCAAAGTGCATTAAAACAATTCTCAAATCCAACCAAAGTGCCTAAAGTTTCAGTACATAATGTTTCAATGATTGAAAATTCTAGATGGCATTCGAGATACATAGTGCTTTAGTACATATGAAACTTCCCTTTGCAACCTCTTAATCCCATGTGTGTTTACAAAAAACAAATTTAACTACTTACTATTTCTCATGTGCAGAACATATCTCCTCCTCTAAGGGTAGCTTGTGGGGTTTGAATATAAAATTTATTTTATTTCTTATTTTTTCAGCTTGGAGTGTATTTAAGGATAGTTTAGGAAGATAGTGAGGTTTTATTAGAAATTGTAAAAATTTAAATTAAAAATTGGGGTGAACTTAAAATATGTGGTGAACTAAGAGAAGTGTGGGGTTTAAATAGAAAATCTCATAAATTATTGTTCAGGGGAAAACTGCACGCATAGCATAGAAGGAGATCTGTTGTTCCATTCATTGACAAATATTTGATGTGATTGACTAAATATTTTCTTGAATTCATATTTTCCACTCGAAAATAAACGATTCTTACCTTTTTTTTATTTTAATTAAAAAGTATTAAATTTGACATTTTCACATGCAATGGAACTTCTTAGAGCAATTCCACCACTTTAGTTTGGCCTGAGCAAGAGGGGGCCCAAGCCCCAGGTCTCGCTTCCAGCGGGCTTCAGCAGCCTGGACAAGAGGTGAGTCCCCTCAAACCGGGCAAGCCCAAAGGCAAAATGAGCCCAAGCTCGTGCCTGGGGGTTGCTGATGTCAGCAACAAAAACCAAAATTTTCAGAATTTTTTTGAAAATAAATACCTAACCATATTTTTCATTTTCCACACCAAAACTCTATACAAATTCATCTCCTCATATCTCATGTAAATAGTGATTATCCTTGGGTTGTCATGGCAATGGGTGAAAACACAACAAGCCTTTTGCAAAGGCTACTACTATTCACGTAAATAGTAACATATATTGCCTTACCCTTATCCTTTGCCATGACAAATGAGTGGAAGTGCTCTTAAACAATACTAATAAACCAGTTGTTGTTCATATTTGTATAGTAATTAACAATAACAACAAGAATTAGAAAGAAATTGCTTTTCTTTCTCTCTTTTTTTTCCAGCTGATAAAGAGATGTTTGGAACTTGTTAAATAAATTATTATTAATTCACATTTGTCACATTCACTCCTACTACGCAAAAAAGAAAAAAGAAAAATAGGACTTAGACTTGGACTTGGCTACACAACTATCTTTTAAAAAATAAAGAAAAAAAGAATTGTGTAGCTAATATGGGAATTCATATTCATGGTCCATATATGACATTCTCATCATAAAACGACTTTAGAGAAGCATCCACATCTTCTTCTCCCTCGATCATCTAATAACAATAATAATACTTGAAAATTAGGCCCAGCAAAATACTATAGTGATTTGACATCGTCCTTTTTAGCTATCGGACACCCATGTCATGCTCAACTCCATATAGACAACTCTTGGACCTAGCGCTACAATTTTGTCCAACACCATCTTTACATTAATCAATATCCTTGTAATTTCGTTCAACATTATACTATATAGTAATTACAAAAAAAGAAAAAGAAAAAGAAAAAGGGACATTATGCTATAATATTGTACAGCTCTGTTATTAACAATCAATTGTTCACGTGCATATGAGTGGTTTTTCAATCGTTTATGAATGTATTATACATGTGGGTGTAAGTATTATCATTAGCATCTCTTCATGTTGATAAGTAGTTAATGAACATTAAGCGTTTGTGGATGTGGTACATATCCGTGCGCAAACGATTGTAAACAACACCACTTTTTTCGTTTTGTATCACACCAACCACGCTAAGCAAAAATGAACATAACATGTTTATGATGTGTCACTTGTGTATACGTTAGTGACTGCCAATAACATTTTTATTGTTGTATCATGTGTAATGACGATAAATAGAAGATGGGATGTTACACTATAGGTTAAATTGAGGTGGTAAATACAAAAATTTACAATACAATGTAAATGTATTTTGTTTTAAAATAAAATAGCTAGTCTTTGACCCCAAAAAAAAACAAAAAACAAAACAGATGGAGAGCGTCGGCTAGTGCATACCAACAAGAAGTCAAGAGAGCGAGGTAAAACGCTGCGGATAGATGAGGCAACAGCGCAGACAAACCTCCAATCCCTTTCACCACGTCATAATAATATTTCCATTCATTGACTTGGACACAGAAATCATCCTTTGCGGCACAGCTGTCCAACAAGATCAGGTTGCTGTGGCACAACCCCTTGCCACGTGGCCTCCCTCTCACAATTCCAAGGTTACTGCACTACACCATAACGTGGCTGTATTTTTTTGTAAGGAAAATACTGGCTCATTGTTTTAGAAAATATCCATGATTACTTTTATATTAATTACAGTTATTTAATAATTTATTTAAGGCAAGTAAGGATAGGGTTTAAGCGTATAATCCATATATTTTCTAAATAAAACTAATGAATTGATGCGGGTTTAACGACTAAACATGATATTAACACTGCTTAAAGTTACACTTTTCAGATGATTAGAATATAGTGCATGCATATCTCGACTTGTTCAACACTTTTAATTGCGTTGTTACCTACATAATAATGGTGGTTTCCCGATTTGATGCTAATGATCTATTGGGCTTGGATGGGCACAAAAACAAGACAAATAAAGAAAGAGAAAAGTTCTTCTACGACAGGTTTCATCTTTATAAAGATTGCCCACTTTATCCTTTCTGGATTTTTTCATGTAACAAAATCTAAAAAGTATATTGTTCTTTCAAATTATACTGGATTATGAACGTCATTATCAACCTATAAACTAATAAAATGATGAAAGCAACATGCTTGAACAAATGGAGAACAAACAAAGCAAAAACTTTTGCTTAATGCTAATGCAGATTTCCTAAAAGCAAAACAGAGTGCATATATATAAAGCTAAAAAACATTATGATTAAATTTCAAATTACCTTAAAATTGTCCTCATTTAAGGTAAATTTTCAAAACATAATAATTTCGGGACAAATATGTTAATAGTAATCTCTCTTTTTTTTTTCTTTTCTTATAATACAAATGATATTCTATTTTTAACACGATGTGAAACCTTCATGAAAAATTAAAGGTTCAACCCGCACGATTAAATTTTCGGGTCAACTCACCATGACCCGTTTAATAAACGAGTGGATTTTGAGTTAACCTGCTAAAATTCCTATGTAACCCGCAAACTCTCTAAAAGACCCTTGTAACCCGCTAACCCGTTTCTTTGTTTATTCTTCATTTTTCTAATTGTTTTAGTTGCTACCACTTAGCGGGTTAACCCGATACACAACTCGAAACCCGCACAGAAATTTAGCAAGTTAACCCAACACTACACGTTTATTAAAAGGGTAAGGTTTGGATTAAGTATTCTTGACACATATATGATCTTAGCACGACACGAACATGACACGACATGACCCATTGCCAATCCTAAACTATGGAGAGAGAGATTTGAACTCGGATACATAGTGGAGAGCGCATTCACTTTAGCAAAATTAACTAATCTCATGTTAATAATAACCTATTAGAAGATTCTTCAATAAGTATTTTATGTTAATGATTAGTTACATATTTATAATCTCGACCGTTTAATCATATATATATTGCATGTTAAATCTAACATGTCTAATGAATGTAATCCAAATCTAAAATTAGAAATATATAACTAATCATTAACTTAAATACCTATTAAAAAATCTCCCATAATCTGTTAACAACTCTTTGTATGTAAATATGAAATTAAAAAATTAAATAAAAAAAACTTTTTCCAACCATAGGAAAAAACAGAGTAGTCTGTATTTTTTTATCCTTCCCACTTACCTCACAGTTTTTTTGGTCAAACTTACCTCACAGTTTAACCACTATCCTAGACAGCATCTCCTGCAGTGACAGAGCTATTTGCATCACCTGACACCAACCTATTACACGGCGCCACGATGCCAACTTTCTACTCCTCCCATCACTTTTCAAACGACGACGTTCGTTGGTTGCTTACATTTTCTTTTGTCGTTTTCTCTTCATCTTTTCCGTCTCCTGCCCGCTTTCCTTCACTACTCCCCTTTCGTTTTTTATGAGGCGCATAAAATTGAAGACCCCTAACTGAGTTCTGATCCAATCCCCCATCACTGTTCCAGCCGTCGCCGCCCGATTCCTTCCAGGAAGATCCCCACTGTCCGCTTCCTTCCCGGACGATCCTCACAGATCTTTCTTCTCAGATCATGTGTTTCGCGTCCACGCTATCTCCATGTTCCCTCGCTCCTCCATTGGTCGCAACCCTGCTCCGTCCTCGATCCGCTTGGTTCGTGTTCCGTGCAAACACCACTTCAGTCCCAACGAGCTCCTCGTAGATCGTGCCAGACCCGCGTTTCTTTTCTCTATTTCTGTCACTTGTCGCCGCTCGTTTCGCGACACGTTTCGGCGTTTCGTCTGAGATTCGGATTTTGTAACGGCGGTGTGGCGTTGTCGTTTTGATTTTTGGATTGGATTAGGAAACTTAACGGTTTTGGGTCTGTTGGTTGGAAGCCATAGTTTCTATTTTTGGTTTTCGCTATTTTTGGAAATATTTCGAGCTGAAAGAGTTGGAGCTCCGAATCTCAACCCGATCTTCACAAAAGAGATTTAAATCTTCCACTCTACTCTGAAATTTTTGCCTTTGGTCACTAGTGTCCCAGTGGAGTATTTTCATTCTCTACGTTTCATTTGGCGATGGAGGATCGAAACGTGCGAAGTGGAATGTCCGATGTGGTGATAGGCTGCGTGATGCCGTATCTTCACGACGCTAAGGACCGCGACGCAGTGTCGTTGGTGTGCCGGCGATGGTACGAGCTCGACGCTCTCACGCGCAAGCACGTGACCATTGCTCTCTGCTACACCACGAGCCCCGATCGGCTGCGGAGGCGGTTTCAGCACCTCGAGTCCCTGAAGCTGAAAGGGAAGCCGAGAGCGGCGATGTTCAATCTGATACCGGAGGATTGGGGAGGCTTTGTGACGCCGTGGGTGAAGGAGATCGCTGAGTCCTTCAATCGCTTGAAGTCTCTGCACTTTCGGCGAATGATTGTTAAGGATTCGGACTTGGAGCTCTTGGCTCAGTCCCGTGGGCGCGTGCTACAGGCGCTCAAGCTTGACAAGTGCTCTGGCTTCTCCACCGATGGCCTTTTGCACATCGGCCGCTCCTGCAGGTATCAAAGTTTACAACTTTGGCTGAATAAACTTTACTTGCGTTGAATTTAGTTGTGGACTTTCATCAGAAATGATGGCTGCATTCATTGTTTTGCTAAAATTTGGGGAACAAGTTATGTTCTTTCCATTAGTTTTCGTTTGAGTATTGAATGATTGACATACATAGAGAAACCATTAAGTAAAAAACCAAAAAAGCAAAATCTTTATTGCTGTTCTCTTGACTTAGCCTGAGTGCAGCAGTCTGGTTTGCGTTTCTGATTAAAACTTTATTTATAGGGATTGATTCTGTTTCTTTCATTATATCTCATACAATTCATCACACTGTTTCCTGTGTTATTTGATCAGTGGAAAAGTTTTTGTTTCGGACAGCTCTTAGTACTAATTACCATAAATGGTCCCAATCAACCTGAAAAATTAGACTTGTGGATAGCTTTTAATGTAGATATGGTTTTATGTAACTCTTATTTCTATTCAGAAGTAATTTCTGCAAGTTAGGGGTGGAAACTGTATTTTGGTTGTTTTGTATATGCAATTCTTATAGGAAAATTTATATGCTGTCTTTGGGAACTTTTGGGGGCATTCATGTTTGCAATCATTCTAAGCTATTGGTTCTGTATCTTTGATGCGGAGAGACATTATTGATGTTGTTTATCATTATATGTTTTCTTAGGAATTTGAGAACCTTGTTTTTGGAAGAGAGCTCCATAGATGAGAATGATGGTCAATGGCTACACGAGCTTGCTTTGAACAACTCTGTGTTGGAGACTTTGAATTTTTATATGACAGATCTTATCAAAGTCAAATTTGAAGACCTTGAACTCATTGCAAAAAACTGTCGCTCCTTAACCTCTGTGAAAACTAGCGATTGCGAAATCTTGGAACTCGTGGGCTTCTTCCGTTCTGCAAGCGTATTAGAAGAATTTTGTGGCGGTTTCTTCAACGAGCAATCAGAGAGGTACTCTGTTGTATCGTTACCCCAAAAATTATGCCGTTTGGGTCTAACGTACATGGGAAAGAATGAAATGCCAATAGTATTCCCATATGCAACCCTTCTCAAAAAGCTGGATCTCCTTTATGCATTGCTCGACACTGAGGACCATTGCACACTAATTCAAAGGTGCCCCAACCTAGAAGTGCTTGAGGTAGTATTACAAAACCATTCTGTGTGCTTTTAATTTGTTGTTGTCATGTGTGCGTGCAAATGCACATGAGTGTGTGTCTGTGTTTGTGTGTACAACAATTACATATTAACTTTAATTTGTCATGTCTTTAATGCTTTTGTTTTGGAGTGGGAATCGTATTTGGAACTTACATATGAACTTTAATTTGTTTCTGTCATGGACAGACAAGGAATGTTATTGGAGATAGAGGACTAGAAGTTCTTGCTCGGAGTTGCAAGAGATTGAGGAGGCTCCGAATTGAGCGAGGTGCAGATGAACAAGGCATGGAGGATGAAGAAGGTGTTGTTTCACAAAGGGGTTTGATAGCATTGGCACAGGGCTGCCTGGAACTTGAGTACTTGGCTGTGTATGTGTCAGATATCACAAACGCATCTCTGGAATACATTGGGACTTACTCTAAGAATCTTTGTGATTTTCGACTTGTCTTGCTTGACCGAGAAGAGACGATAACTGATTTACCACTTGACAATGGGGTTCGAGCTCTTTTGAGGGGCTGTGATAAGCTCAGAAGGTTTGCTCTGTATCTCCGTGCTGGGGGCTTGACCAATTTGGGACTTAGTTATGTTGGCCAGTATAGTCAAAATGTGAGATGGATGCTTCTGGGTTATGTTGGGGAATCTGATGCAGGGCTTTTGGAGTTCTCTAAAGGTTGCCCTAGCCTGCAAAAATTGGAAATGAGGGGCTGTTGCTTCAGTGAGCGTGCACTGGCTGATGCAGTAATGCAGCTGACTTCCCTTAGGTACTTGTGGGTGCAGGGATACAGAGGATCTGCGTCGGGTCGTGATGTTTTGGCAATGACTCGGCCATATTGGAATATTGAGTTAATTCCCCCGAGACGAGTTGATGATCAGCAGGGGGAGGGAGTAGTGACGGAGCATCCAGCCCATATACTTGCATACTACTCACTTGCTGGACAAAGAACAGATTTTCCAGATACTGTTATCCCCGTGGATCCAGCATCTTTTATTACCTCCTAGAGTTCTGTATATACAAACCTTCTTACTTTTTTTTTTGTTTTTTTGTTTTTCTAAAGCAGTCCTTTTCTTGCCACGCCTTGTTTATAAATCAATGTAACTTATTTCTTTTTTATCAGAGGGTTTCAGTTTCAAATTTCATTTCTAGACTTTAGTTCTGTAATAAGTTGGTGTTTCCCTTCCCTGTGTAACTTAAAAGCACTTGCACTCTTTGAAGCGGTATTGTATCAGAGTGCCCTCTTTCCAGGGCAGTTAGCCTAAACTTCAACTCTCTGGTGGTGACTTGTATTAGCTAGTCTGCTGAGTCAATTTGCTGCAAACTATATTCTAGTTTTGGGAGCATTTTGTAGGGGATGCTGCAAGTTTTTGAATAAAATTGAAGAGTGATTTTGCTTGCGTTCTGTTAATGTTAAGTTGAGATTCTGATGATATGTTGTTCGTGCAAAATATATGATTTTGGCTAAACATCGAATGCCTTGGGACATACTTCCAAGTCCGATATGAAAGATAAAGATTCGGGGTCCTTTTGTCTCTGTGGCTTCTCGATATTGAGACTTGGTCCCGATGATTGGACCAACAAAAGCCCCTGAGGAGGAAAAATGGTTGTCAATGGGTCCCGATTATTGGACCAACAACAGCCCCAAACTCCATCAGTGCCCAAGAACGGGCCCTTTTGGAGTTAATCGGAGCCGAGCCCGGGCCCTTTTGGAGTTAATGGAAGCCGAGCCAGGGTGACTGCTATTGCGGCACATGTTTTAAACTTGAATACAAGAAGACGGACATATTGTCTTGACTAGTGACCTGATTCATGTTGGCATATCACTCCCCATCTCATCATAAGAAAAACCAACTTAAACATTGATCTAAATTCATAAAGAAACAAGTTTTGGACTTTGATCAAGCTATTAGTCTTGCGGTCATAGACTAGCCCCAGTCATTCGATTTTCTATTAGTCTTGCGGTCATAGACCTAGCCTTATCATTCTCTAAAGTAGTAGAAAAATTTACTTGTACTGGAAATAATACTATTTTGCGTTATTTATCGGGAATAACAAAAAGTGCTATCCGCATTACATTACAATAAAAACTGAGAACATGTTTACGTGAAATGAGTATGTGGCGCATGACGGCAGTGGTTCTATGATGCTGACATGTGTACACGGTGCTGGTAGGAATTCGAATATAATGCATTATTATTATTATGTCAAGAGCAAAACACAAGAGAATAAGAGAAAATCAGTACTCGAAAACTGTCAACGTATCAATTCAATACGAACATCATTATATGACTTTATGGCCAAGAAATAAAGAAGAAAACCATAGAAGAACTTTTTATAGTCTTTCATCGAAAGGTGGCACTAGTAGTGGGTGGCTATCCTCCATTAAGATCAAGTCAATTCCAATTGATAATGGAAGAACAACTTCTCATATAACCTACTGCATTAGTTGAATTTGATAATGGAAGAATGAAAATACTTGCCTCCTCTCTCGGAAGTAGGAGCTCCTTTTATGCTAATTATAATTTTACACATAAATTTTTCTTTTTGTATTTTTTAGGAATTATTTATGCATATATATATGTCAAACTTTGATTTGCAGGAAGTAGAAATACCTCCTTACCTGCAGTATCCATTGAAGAAGCAAATTCTCACAAATTTTTTTTTTTCCAAGTTTTCTTGGCCGTTCACTTTAGACCAACCACAGCTTCTTCTCTTGGCACAAAAGATGGTGGCACTAGGTGCATCAAATTCTCCATTAAAATGGGAATGTTCTAATATAGACTTGTTTGACTTTATTTTTTTAACTTTTTGGCTTCGTTTTGGCTTTGATACAGTACCTTAGTGTACTTTGTTGGGGTTAGTCTTTGCTGATATAATTTGGCAAATTGCAAAACTATAATTATGTTTAAGAATGGCACAGTGACCTAGTTTTATCCCCTCATACCATATTTATATATTATACTCTTATACCGCATTATGTGGTAGATAAAGTGTACGACAAGATTAATTATAAAGTGTCAATAAATTATAAAAGAAAAAAAAAGTTAAATTAATTTAAATTAATGTGGTTGTACACATCATCTGTCACATAAGATGGTACGAGAATGTAGTTTATAAACATGAGGAGAGTAGCATTAGATACGTGAGAACAAAAAGCTTTCTTGGCAGATTATCCTAAGATCCATGTGGACCAATGAAGACGTCATCAAAACTGGAGCCTAGTGCATGTGCCTTTGCTACACCAGAAGGATTTGATGTGAAAGATAATCAGAAAATTTAAGTAGTAAATTAATTGTTAAAAAGACAAAAAAAAAAAAAGAGAGTAAGGTGGTACGGTTTAGCCTTCTCAAAGGTTTGATTCAAATTAGAATAAAGCAGCTAGAATGCTTTCTCATGCAAGTTGCTGAAAGATGACTGATATTAGAAGAAAAAAAGAAGATTAAAGTTGATGGTTTATGTCACATACCGAAAGAAAAGAAAGTTCATGAGGATAATCATATTGCTCATGTTGCTTTGGAACTTTTTAATGCTCAGTGTGTGGTTTACAAAATGATATGTGCAAAGTGACAGTAACCCGCACTCAGAGTTTTTCACCAACAGTCCCAAGCAGCACACACAGCAATGGTTGGCAGAACACCAACCTAAAATAATACAAACACAGTGACAAAGCGCAGTAAATATCATAATTATTTATTATTTATGAAAAGCTGAGGAGGATGAGAGTTTTGAGACCAAACAAAAGGAAGAATCCAAAAACCCATCAGAGTTCTAAGTTGAAGAATTCATTCTGCTTAATTTGCTCTGCAGTCTTGAAAATCCGTTGTTGGGTTTTTAGAAAAGCTTCAATCAAAGTAAAAGTATGATGCTTGCGAAGACTTAAAAAAATGGCACTATGCTGATGCAAAAGTCTGGCCACCATTAGCAGTGGTATTGGATGAAACAGGAAAAAATATCAGAGCACAGGCCAAGTTGGATTGGTAGAGGGAGGAAACGATGGTTTGAAAATTGTAAAATGCATTGGCATTTCCTTACGTGGATGATCCTACATCCTACGATGGAATGAAGCAGAGGATGCTTATCAAGTGGAATGCAAACTCAGCATCTACTAGTGGATGTGGAGAGTCACTCGGTCAATTTGGCCAAATTGGATGCATAAAGCAAATAATGGCGGAAAGTTTTTTTAAGAGAGAAAAAAAAAGGTGAAGCAATTAGATACTGTGGAATTTCTAAAAGAGTGCCAAGTGAGTCATCAGCCTGTTTAGCCACATCATCCAATGACATGGCTATCTTTCCCCAGTGGTTGCAAGATAATTCCACGTGCGAAACAACCATAATCAACCTCAGCCATTCCAAGTGCAAATCCATAGGGTGTAAATAAGACCACGCACCACTAGGAAACTGCCAAAAAAAATAATCTTAAATTCTCTCACCTGTAGATCTTTATAACTTTATTCTTGGTCTATGGTTATGCAGAAGTTTTGGATTCTTCTCAGAAACTAAATAAAACAGAGAAAATGATACTAAAATTAAGATCATGTGCCTGCCCGAAATGTACATAATAGTATGTTATATATGCACACATACAATCAAGGAAAATACTTTGACAAAAGAAAAAACAAAAGATCATTTCAGTCAGTTCAGTGCGTGCATGTGTGTGTGTCCACCCGAAGTTTCTTACAGTTGTCTGAGATATTTGTCCTCAAACTTCAAGCAGCTTGCTTCACTGATGTATGCATGTTAATTTCCCAGCTCAAAACTGCAGTTACTTTGTAATGCTTTCACAGCTAAACTCAATTCCTGAGGGGATGAGCAGATTTACCATTCATTTCAACTTTACAATTCAGACATTACAGTTTGAGGCTTTATGGGATTTTATCATAATGTAATGTTCAAGAACTATGTACGAAATCAAATCCTTATTACGCTACTCACACACAACCGTGATAAAGAGCCAACATTGAAATTCTGCAGAAAGTCATTTGCTTGGATTTTCAATCCAGGAGTACAACAAAAGGGGATGTTTTAACCATGTATCTGATGTCTTGAGGTCTGCATTAGATACATCGAATTTTGGGGTTTGGCATGAGCAGCAAAATTAGCACTGCTGTAGAGTTTTTGCAACTGTAGCTTAATCCCTTCTGCAGCTACATCATACGGAGACGACTCTAAAAGACTGCCATGAGTAGAGCCAAAAACCATGCCGCCTCCATCATCACAAGCATTCCAGTCAAGTAATGCTTTTGGTGATTCAGTGGACTTCTGCTCTGGTGGAGACTGGTCTAAAGGAGGCCTATTATTTTCTGATGGAGTAGTGCTTGTGAGGTTGACAGTCGTTATGTCGTGGATGCTTGGTCTTCTTTTATCCTTCCCTCCTGAGTGCTGCCTCATAAAGTATTTTTGAGCATGGCTTGCCACTTGTGTGGGAGTTTTTGAGATTACAAAATTCCTGGAAATATTTCTCCAGTCCCCTTTCCCATATTTTAGAAGTCCCATCAGAAACCGCCTGCAGGTCATTACCACACATTCATGTCAATAAAAATATCAAGAACACAGAGAGAGATCAAACTATATGCCCTACAATTGGGATGTGGAAAACTCCATTGGGTTTCATAACAAAAAGTTGGAAATTAAAGAAAACAACAGTTCATCTACATATTTTCCTCTGCTTCCAAAGGAAACGAAATGATAGGTACTGGACATAGTGATTTCCACAAATTGAACTAGACCTTTCATATCTAATAACCATCTTTTTCCTTAGCTATTATTTTTTCTCTTTACTGCAATTCAAGACCTACTCTACTTGATCACATATAAATCCAAAAAGATATTCGAAATAGTCTAACCATTTGAACTAGCAAACAATTATAGACTATCTAAGAAAAACAATGAAGGGAAGTCACCTGTGCTCCTCTTCTGTCCATGGAATTCCCTTCTTCCTTTCCTGATCAGAACCTCGAGCTGCGGAAGGCCTCTTTCTATTGGCATCAAAATTTCGATCATCTCCCAAGTCCAATGTGAAAGAAGATGTAAGGTACCCTGGAATTGGAAACCTCCCAGATTCTATTTCACTAACATCTTCTTCCAGCTCCTGATACTGCTTGATCACATCGATAACCGTCTTCCCCGGTATCATTGAAGCCACCTTCAGCCACCTGTCAGGCGTTTTCTCATCAAACATAGCCAGAGCACTCTCAAACTTCTTGTTCTCTTCTTTAGTCCATTCTGAGCTCTGGCTGTCTTGGATGAACCAGTTAGA